TTAAGTAATATATTAATTGTATATAATTTTAACGGTTGAATCTAGTATATATTCCTTAGTTAGGAGGGTTCTACTAATAATATAAAGGTTCTAAATAGTACTTTTATATAGTAAGGAGCTTATAAATTTTAGATCTCTCAAGGGTAGTATTATTTTACTAATATAAGGTATAACTATAATAACTGACTACTTATACTATATTGTAGTATCTAGTACTATTTAAAAAAGAATAAGAGGGCGGGACTCCGCCCTACTAATATAAAGGAGTTGTATAATCTATGTTATAACTAACTTTATATTATAGTTAAGAAGATAATTAGTCAATTGAAGGGGATGTTCAAAATCTACTGCTATTCGCCCAACTTCAGTATAAATATCCAAATAAAGATTATCTTCACTACCGTAGCGGTACTAAACTAGTTCGTAAAGTACAATAATACCTTCAATAATTACTATAATATGGTAACAAGTACGAGAGTGAAATTTAATAATATAGTCACAATAGAAAGGGAACTATTTAATATAATTAATTTTATAAGTAGTTATAGTATAGAAAAGAGAACGGACTTTACTAGCGCAAAGTTAATTGGAGGGACGAAGGGATATATAGCGCAATACTATGACCGCATTGCTAGAAGGATATAGATTAATTACTATAATAAATTAAAAAGAAGGAGAGAAATATATAGTATTAAATCTAATTAAAGGGGGTTAATTTAGTAGTAGAGGGAGGAGGGGAGAGAGGAGGGGAGTTAACTTATAATATATGGGTTTGTAAGCAAATAGGGTAATCCAGTATTGGCTATACAGATTACCCTTCAAATTATTTAAATGTAATAGAATTGTATATATCGAATTATAAATTCAAACTACTAGATTACCTCCCAAAGTACTAGAGTATATAAAAAATTTATCTTTTTCAAAGACTCAATTCTAGTATCTAGATTCAAAATTTCTAGTTATATTTATTATATTAATTAGCTTTAGCGTAGTCTTAGCTCCCGTCTCCCCACCGAACTAAAAATTTTTAAAATCATTTACAATACTTGCATCTCTCGCAAATCTGCCTCAAAATTAATACAAAGATAATATATTAATTCGGCTTAACTTAATAATCAAAATGGTGTACTTTTTATATACATACAATTTTTTGGGGTGGTTTTGTTTCAATATAGAAAAAGTGCATCAAAAAAATAAGATGTAAAAATCTAGGGTCTGACCCACTTCTCGCTCCCTCCCGCCTATACTCTATTAACAAATATATATTCAAATTTACTGTAATTTAAGATTAATAAAATCAAAATAAATACTAGTTTCTAAATAGAAATTTGCTCCTTCAACATCGCTATTATCCTCCTCTTCAACGATCAAAAATATATCTCCTTCTTTTTATTATATATCTTTACAAAGCGGTGCGCCTTTCTATTAAATTCCTCCTATTTATAAAATACTAATTCAATGATATTATTATTAATTTTATCCTTCTATTCATTATAAAAGAAATTAAATACTTTATTGAGCCACTCGTTATACAATAGGAGAAAAGGGGTAAATTTATATAAAATCTCCTTCAATACTTCGGTTAATATACGCAACCTATTAGCAACGGTCTTACTAGGCGTCTTCCTCTTCTTCTTTTTAGGATCTTTATTAGAAGTAGCAACCCTCCTCTTATTACTATTACGAACGTAGGTAGGTATAGGGAGATTCTTATTATTATTATTCTAATTGTTATTAATATATAGACTAACTGACTATATCTTTCTTAAAAGAAGTAATACGCCTAGTATTTTAATATACTAATTAGTAGTACCCTAGTTATTTACGAACGCTTCCTTTATAAATTTGCGGTATAGGAGGGATTTATTCTTAAATTAGTTAACTTCTTTATTCTTCTATCAATTATAATTAATACTTAAAGTCCAAATCCCTACTCGGTATATACCAACCAACACAATATATTAACCTCAATAAGTAGATCCTATACTTTATTAAATTCGGTTGTAGTACTAGTATCTAAATTAAACCCAAACCCCGATTGAGAGTAATTTTTCAAGATTAACTAAGTATGCTATTTATAATAAAATTGGTCTACTTTATTACAGATCTAGTAATTACTTGGCCTATTACTGAACCGCTCAGCTATATCCCTAACGAAATTATTATATACTTAGTTTTTATAACTATTCTAGTTAGTTACCCTAATATTAACTACCTTCTTCAAAAGGGTAAATAAATAAACCTCCTGTCATGGCGCTGCCAGACATGCTGGATCACGTGCATGTTCAGTCCTTCCATCTCAAGCATATAAGGCTGTCACTCCTTCCATCCGATGTAGTTAGCTTCTTCTTCTTCTTCATCTTTAATTATTTATTACATTCGTCTGATTATTCGTGTCCCAGCACTCGAGATCTACGTGACGTGACACTTAATTAAAGATCCTTCCTACGGGTCGTATTATATCAAACTCCCTCTCATCCCAACCGCCGCGGATTCCGGAACATCGGACTGTCTCGATATCTGCAGCTGTACTCGAAAACTGGGCGCGCATCGCCAGAACCGAACTCTCTTGGGATGACAGATCATCACATCTCTTCATTGGAGCTATGGCCCTCTAGATCGGATCAAATGACATCGGATTCATTACCAATTGAACGGCTGGTCTAAGGTTAAAGATGCAGTACAACAGCGACCCTTCCATTCGGGACCTCAGCCGCGATCCAACGTGGTTCAGCCCATTTCTCTTCTTTCCTGGTTCTGACAGCCCAGCTCAAATTCTATCATTCCCCTCATCTCTCCACTCTTCAACAGGCAAACACTGGATCTGACAGCTCATCATCAGACCGCCGGCGTCGTGGTGTGGATTCCCGTTATCCGGTATCTTCCCGAAACATATGCCAGATTCCCGCTATATTGAGCCGTATTTCGTCTGGTATCCCCTGTCTCAAAACCAATGCCAACGACTATAGACCCACTTTGGCAACATTAACGACAACCAGGTCAGACACTTCCTCTTTTCTCGTTCCCTATCACTCTGCTCTCTCCATTGTTCACGGCATCTCTCGGATCATCAGAGCAACCATCGCCGCTGTTCACGACCATGGCCGAGGAGCAGCCACAACCCCCTATCTTGAGCCTCGAGTCTTTGGCCGACCACCTTCAGAAGCAAGTCAATCGCATGGATGAATGCGAGAAGGCCTTTTCTGCACTCAGGAAGAATATCGTCACCTTGAATAAGGCACTTGACAATAACACCGCCCTAGTTCAAGCGCTTCCAAAGTCTAGCTCAAAACCCAAGGCTGGACTTCCTGATGTTGAGAAGTTCAACGGCGCTGCTTACACCTTCGAGACTTGGCTCCCTTCTATCCAAGCGAAACTCAGGATCGATGGAGATGCTATAGGCAATGCTGAAGCCCAATTCTGGTATCTCTTCTCCCGGCTCGATGGAAAGATCCAAGCCTTGGTGATGCCCCAGGTTCAACAAGCTTCGGAACTTCAGGTTTTCGATCCTCAAGACTTGCTCGATCAACTGAACCGCATCTACGATGATCCTCACAAAGTCCAGCAAGCCGAAAACGCTCTCTACGCACTCCGCCAAGGTGATGAAGGCTTTGGTCTGTTTATGGCTAAGTTTGAAAGGCTTCTCTATAAGGCAAAAGCCAACCTTTGGACTGAACCAGCAAAAATCTCTCTCATCCGCCAAGCTCTCAACAAGGACACTCGCAAACGTGCTCAACTTCTCCGCCCAGTTCCGGTTACTTACGTGGACTACGTACAAAAACTCAAAGAAGTCGTGAACTCTATCCATAAATCTAAAGATAAAGATGCTATAGAGATCGATGCCATCCAAGCAGCTAAGAAATCAACAGCCACTATCTCAACTTTAGAGCTGGCCGGACCGTCCCGCTCTCGGGCGCAGCTGCATATGGTTGAAGGTCTCTTATCTGATGATGTAGAATCAGACGATGACGACGATGACGACGATGAAGAGGATTCTGGTCATGAGTTCGGATGTGATCATTCAACTGATTCTGAGCCTGATTTTGAGCGCAAGCTGGAGCGCATGGCGTATGGTAGCCGTACCAGATGCTGAGATTCCATCTCATCCTTTTCTTTCACATGTTCTAGATCGCGTTGCTTCTTATGATGTCAGGTGTACCCATCCAGATTGTCGGGTCCTGTCATCTCAATCTTTACTTCTCTTCGACTCTGGGGCTGAGTCTTCTTCGAAGGGGGGGGTGATGTCATGGCGCTGCCAGACATGCTGGATCACGTGCATGTTCAGTCCTTCCATCTCAAGCATATAAGGCTATCACTCCTTCCATCCGATGTAGTTAGCTTCTTCTTCTTCTTCATCTTTAATTATTTATTACATTCGTCTGATTATTCGTGTCCCAGCACTCGAGATCTACGTGACGTGACACCTCCTACTTATAATTCTATAACTAATTCTTAGTAATAGTACAGTTCCTCTTACTACTACTAGATTTAGACTGTAATTAGCTAAGAAATTAGCTAAAAGGGGAGGGTTAACTAGTAGTAAATTAGCTATAGGGGAATAGGGCGTACTAATTAGGGGTAAGTTGACTGGATTAGGACTAGCTGGACTGTAATAGTAATTGAAACCCTATAGTCTATGATTCTCCTTCTATTATAGGACGAATTTAGCTATTATTTATTTAATTATAAAAATAATTAGGTTTCGTTCTTCAAAAAATAAAATAGGGGCGGTTATAGAAGGTAGTTACAATAGAGACAATCGAGGTCATTATTAGTTACAATAATACTATAAGTTATATACCTACTTGAATATAATAGATTCTAGATTCCTAATATTTCGAATAGGTTCTATAAATACTTTCGTAAAGTAGGCCACCGCCAATCTATTGCTAACTTAGTTAGATTTACTGGGCTGGTTACGAGCGGTCTGTGCACTGGTACGTAAATCCATTTACTGGAACCATTATTTACTGGCATTTACTGAGTTGCCGAACACGCCCTCACCCACTTCCCAGAGACTCCCAGGAATGCGGCTCAGCCGCCGCCGTATCGCTGGGTTGCGGAACGCGGCTGCGCGTTTCTAATCCGGGAGGCAATAGAGGGAAGGCGCCGATACGTGAAGGCAGGTGACCGAAAGTTCCAATCAGGGCTGGAGGCTGGGAGAAATTCTGGTGCAAACAAAAACCTCCATGTTGACTGGATGTGGATGTCAGTGACCTTACGATTTGGCCGATCATCTTTTGCAAAGAGATGGATTTTTAGTTTGAGTAACGTTGCGCATCGTACCCCAAAGTACACGAACTGGGCTGACGATGATGTAAGACGACCAGACCCGAACACGACCGGACACGACGGAGTTACTAAAACTGTCAACCGGTCGGCGTCGTGTATCGTATCTGTTTGTGCAAAGTTGCCTTACGTTAGCACGACAGCCTTAATTCTTTCGCTCATGTTTCCTACCATTAAGGTTCGCATTTGGTTGTGCTTTGTTCACCGCTTTTGTTTATATCACGTTACCTCCACTTTCAGTGACTGAGTGTCCAACACGGAGCTGTTTTGGTGAGGCCAGGCCTAGTCGGTCGGTGCCTATTCGTTAGAGGTCCTCGAAGGATCTGGAAAGGGATGCATTTGGAGAGAAGCCGAACAGGCGACGCGTACGAGTGTGCGCCGCCGCAGCGAGGCGGTACCTCTATCTTTCTTCACCCATTCCATCCAGTTCTGAAGCAGTGGGCGGTGAAGGGAGCAATGACCGGAAGATAAACGTGAGTCAAAAAAGGAGTGAAGTTCATACCTCTGGGTACCTAATGTTACCTGGCCAGCAAGTGCTCTCTCCTGGTTCTTTCTTTCGCTTTCTATACTCTGCCTCCTGTCGGCTCGGGAGCTCGAATTCGCGACAGGCGTTGAGGCGCGGCTGCGAGAAATGACGAGGTTCAAAAAAAAAAAAAAAAAAAAAAAAAAAAAAAGAGAGAGCTCAAGGGGAAGAGCTTGCGAATCGAGGCTCGAGGTCACGACCTAAAACTTCGTGGCATGTTTGATCGCGCGTCTTATGGAACGGTGGGTGTGCAATCTCACAACTTGACGTCAACCCGAAGGACCTGGCGATGACAATGGAGGATGCGAAGGGCAGGAGGACGTTCCATGTTCCATTTGACTCTTTGCAAGTGCAGCTGTCAAGGCCGGCCGCTCATGCCAAAGTGCATGCACATGCATGATATGACGTGCATGGACGTGACGATTTCCTCCCATTACACCAACAGTCGCGGAAGGTGCGAGGGAGCAAGCGCACTTCTTGCTCAAGTCCAGTCCGTGGTCAATTGCTTCTCGCTCCTGGATCGTCTCCAGTTCTCGAGTTCGTGAAGGAGCGAGTGGACGCGAGTCGCGACGAACTGAAGTGTCCGGAAGGCAGGCCCGAACAGCACCATTTAGGATGGGAGAGGAGAGAGGAAGTTGCAACAAGTCCCTCGATCCGATGAAGACCCTCGCGCATGCCCACTGGCCTGATGGGTTTTCAAAATTAATGGTAATGATGTTTCCGATTTGAATTGAATGATAGCGAAGTCCTTGAAGCATCCAGTCGGAGAACCGAAGCAATGCTTTCACCGCCCATCTCAAGCCAGACCACGGACAAACTTTACGGCTTCCCGTCTATTCACATTACTCTGCTGCCGAAGTGGGCTGAATCGACAGTTTCGATTCGATTATCCTTGTTTGGTGCATGTATGCCTCTCATATACCTCTACCATTAGTTCAATGCTCCCTTGTGTGTGGCTGATGGTCATGGACTTGCGCTCGGGATGAGAGGAAGAACATTTCTGGGGAAGTGTAAGATTGGGAGGAACGATGACAAGACAAGTGAATACCTCTACAGGTTCGCTGTACGGCAGAGAGAGGCGGATTCTTTCAAAGAGAATATGGGTGTCTTTACCTACGTCTACTAGGAGGAGAAGGGAAAAAACCGCTGCCAAAGGAAAACAGCTGACAAAGGCCAAAGGAGGCTGAAAGGCAGGCAATGGCAGGAGGAAAATGAACGACGAGACGTCTCTATACTAACAGAGAACTTTCACACGTACAGCTGACTCCAGCTGAAGCAACGACGACAGTGAATCCATCTTCACAGCACCACCCATCACTTACCACGCCCATTCAGATCAATTCCCAACCATTGGACACAGGCCAAACGAACATCACCGGTCATTTTCATTTCACTGATTCACAACAACATCCCACCATCTTTTCCCTTCCTCTCCCCCTTTCCTGGCTTTCGACCTCATCAAACCTATCGCGGAGAGGGAGACGGGAGATGGTAGATGGTAGACGGAGACTGGCCCCTCCCTCTTCTCATCCAGCCAAGCCCCTAACGGTACCTACCTGACGATTTTCGGCCCCCTCCTGGGAGATTGAACCCCAGATCTAGGTACCCTACCTACCGTAGAAATCCACCCCAGACCACGGTCTAACACAAAGGATATAAATCTCGCGCTCACCAGATCCCCCTCCTTACCCCTTTCTCTCAGTCGCCACTTACTAATGATGGGACATCGGGAACCTCCCAAGGAAGGATAAAAGGGATCCTACATCTCTCTATATTTCTTAAGACTGCGGTGTCAAGCTCTTTCACAACAAAAGCACAAGTGGACACAATCAACACTCCAACGGTCCCCTTCCTTTTTTTTTTTTTTTTTTTTTTTTTGCCTACCGATGTGGACGCACGCTACCTCTCCTCCCCTGGTTCGGTAGTCTGTCTGGTCTCTAAGTCATTGATTACCTATCTAACCACCTCATGTACTGCACTTATTTTCCCCGTTCCCTCCTTCTCCTCCCCTCCTCTTCCTCCTCCTCTTCATCCATCTTCCCGCGCCCTAGGCGGATACACCACACCACACCATACTAAAGAGGCCGAAATCGACAGCCGAACCATTCGTGAGGAAGGAGAAGAGGATGGGGAAGAGGGGCATCATATTCCGTACATGACTTTCGTGATGTGATGTACGTGTATACCTCTACCTGTAGAGGTAGTAAAAACTGGGTACCTCCGATGAGGTAAGTGTAGCACCTACCCAGGCCCGGCCGGTCGTCTTGTGCCCCCCTCCGGCTCTCTCTCTCTTTGCTTGCGTGTGCTTGGAGGGTACATGCAACGAGGGGGGGAAGCAGGGATCCAATGAGGTGAGGTAGGTAGGTAGGTAGGTAGGTAGGTAGGTAGGTAGGTAGGTACCTAGGTAAGTGTATAGAAAATGCCGCTATGGAAGCTAGTCGAGTTACAATCGATGTGTTTTTGTTCACAGCAGCATCGAGCGTGCCTGTTATTTTTAGTGTACCTACCCGGATGAAAAAAAGGGGTAAAGGCTGGCTGGTTGGTAAATGCCTAAATAAGTAGGTAAATAATGATAGACAGATCATCTAAAGGTAGTGTACCTGTGGTATAGCCTGATGTATCTACCACTACGGATAGATGAAAGAAGGTATGTACTTCTAGAGATGGAGATATAGACACTCGACACCATCTGTAGCCAACAAGCATGACATAACGTAATAGAGACGACTAGGCCTCCAGGTCGATGAGACCAAAGATCTCTACCAACACTCAGCATCAATAGCATAGACGTAGCATCGAGCAAGATACAGTACCCCAAGTGAGCACCCTAACCTTGGCATAAAGCCGTAGGGAGCATCAATGACAGAAATGAAAGGGGCTCCGCACGGGGGCTTGCTTCAGACTTGACTGGCATGTCGGAGTGTCGGAGTGTCGGAGTGTTGCTGTTGTTGATCTGGGATCGAGTCACAGCTTATGATTCCTGGGACCTGATACAGTAATGTTATTCTTGATTGATCAAGGACTGTGTACCTGATATGAGCGTGAATGTACCTGCAGTATTGGGCCGTGACATCGAAAAGTCCAGTCCAATTGGAGGTTAGACAAAACTCTGAGGCAGTGTAGGTAGGTAGTAACGGATGCATGATTCGACATGGCAGGAAGGAAGGACTGACTTCAGTATCCACACCCTTTTTTCTTTGTGTCTTCCTTGGTCTTGGTGAGTATGTACCTCTAATGCAGTATGGAGATGGACGTAACTGTCAGGTCTACCAACTCACCTTGACCCTGTTCGTGTATTTTTTCTTCTTGAAAACGATGCCGGTATGAAGGTCCTCCGACATGCCATGTCGTAAAGCATTATGCAAAGAAAGGGAGTATTGGCAATGGCGCGACGACGGCCTTGTTCGACGGCCTTGCTCTCTTGTCCCAGCGGCCGATCGCGGCCCTCAAGGTCCTTTGAAACACCGTGGTATCAAGGAGCTTCCTAATTCGTTACTCCAATGTCCAGTGTCACAAGCATGGAACGGGTCAACAGTCTGGGGCTCGCGTATCTGTTTCTAGTGGCTGTTGCAGATCCATGTAAGCAAAGGTCCGATGTCGTCGACTTGTTTTAAGCGAGGTAGTAAATAGGTACGTAGGCTATTATGTTGTAAATACCACGAGTGACGGCCGAGATTTCCCTTTCTTGTCACTAGCCCAGCGCCATGTTGGACATCGTGAAGAGCTAGAAGCATTCCAAGCAACAACGCCGAGGCCTTAAGCCTCACAGCGTGTGCGCCATTGGAACTGGAAGGTAAGTAGCCTAGGGGAGTTGGGAGAGAAGGACCGATTCGACGCTACGGAGGTCCTGCGAGTAGCGGGCGAAGAAGATGATTGAAAGGGGCAGAGTGTCCTTTTCCTCCTGAATGCTCCTACACATGGAAATGCATGTGAATGTGGCTTTTCTTTTCGCGACCAGATCCGACCCCAGACTTTTTAGCGACCCCTTGATGATATCTCCCCCCAGGTTCATGGGGTTGGATTTCGATCCAAGGTGGAATCCATCCCCGCACCTTCCAAGAACGATGTCGCGATGAAATATGCATGGCAAGGAGAAATAGGTTACAGCCGGACCTGCATTGCAGAAAAGAGATGGAAATGCGGGGATAGCGCGGTCGGAGGTTTCATTTGATGTGATTAGGATCTTGGAATCTCGGATGGAAGAACCGTTGGACGACAAGCTTCTACACTAAAATGAAGGCTAACACTTCCAGATCTGGATATTCTCCTCGTTTACTGCGTAGTCATCGGTCCGACAGCACTGATACTACCATATGGCGACATTAGCCAAGCAACAAAGCCCTTAGAATTGACTTGCAATGAAGGAAGAAAGCAACAAAGTGACGAGAACGTGACAAGGCACAAGACCAAACTCCAGACCCTTTT